CACTGGTCGAGTTTGATAAACTTCGAATACCGCGAGTGGGACTTGGACGTAGTCGTGGTCCTGGAGAGTGGTAGTGTCAAACTGCGTCGGTAGCAGCAATAATTAGCAGTCTTCGTAGGAGTGGTTCTTGATCACTAGCCCAAAGGACAGGTGGGGGTGACAAATAGTCGTCATCAGATACGTTATCATGGTGGATGAGGGGTACCTTGGTGATGATGGGGATGGGGGATGGGGGGTGCCTGGTGATGATGGGGATGGGGATCGGCTGCTCTGTGCCCCCTCCCCTTCCCCTCGTTGCTGTCCCCATCGTCGGCACGAGCCGCAGTCAAGGGAGGGGAAAAGTGGGATGATGGGGATGGGGGATGGGGGTGCCTTGGTGATGATGGGGATGGGGGATGGGGGGTGCCTGGTGATGATGGGGATGGGGATCGGCTGCTCTGTGCCCCCTCCCCTTCCCCTCGTTGCTGTCCCCATCGTCGGCACGAGCCGCAGTCAAGGGAGGGGAAAAGTGGGACAGGTGACCACACGCATCTGTAAGCCCATGCCTGTGGGTATGGCGAGGGCAGACAGCCCACAGCAGCACCACATGCATGTCGCTGTGCATCCGCTGTGGCTTGTGCGCCTTGCTGTCGTCGCCGTACTCGCCGCGGTGGCCATGGCCGTGCAGAGTGGTGACCGTGGAGAGGCTGGCCACCTTGCGCCACCTCCACCTTCTCAAGGCTCTGTTGGCCTGGGGTATACTCATGAAAGAGTTCAGGGAACATACAGTCATGGAAATGATCCTCTTCTTGCACCCACTCGGGTACATGATCGTCTTCCTCGCACCAACACGGCTCACTCCCCGCCGCAAGCCGACCTTCCACACTCCGCCCGCCACGGTCGTCGCCCGGTCGCCCCGCAGCAGCTGCCGAGAGAGTGGGCGGTGGCGGGCGGTGGCAAGGCGGCAGATGGCAATGCCTGCAACGGTGAACCGGTCGTCCTCAATCAGCAGTCGGGCATGATCAGTGACGGATCGGGCGATTACGGGAACATGATGACGTGCGTGTGGCACATCACCTCGCCCGGGGCGCTCGTCGGAGAAGACGGCTCGCCGCCCGAGCTCTTCCTCACTCTCTACTTTCATATGATTGCGCTCGAGTGCGGATGGGACTTTGTCTATGTCTACGAGATCGGAAACGGGCTGGACGATGCTCCGCTGGTGGGCATGTACTCGGGCATGTACACTCCGGATGCCCTGGTCTCCACCTCGGGCGCTCTCGCCGTTGTCTTTGTCTCGGACGAGGCCATGGCCGACCGCGGCTTCCAGCTCTCCTTCACCTTTTCACCGTGTCCGTTCAACTGCTTCTACGCCGGCCAGTGCATCATGTCCTCGCGGACGTGCCTGTGCCAGCCCGGCCGCGTCGGCACCTACTGCGAGATGGCCGATCCCGGCATGACGCTGGACCCCGAGTACGGCCCCTTCCAGGCCGGCTCGACTCCGTGCGACCAGTACTCGTGCGACGCGCCCGAGTCCATTGTCGTCAACGCCTCAAACGTCTTTGACCTCTTCCGCCCCGCCACCGTCCAGACCTTCTCGCGCATTCTCCCGCAGCCGTGCATGGTCTTTCCGGGCTTGACCAACGCCTCGCGCGTTGGCTCGTGCTGGGACGAGCCCGAGGCCGTGGACGAGCCGGACGTCGCCGCCGGCGCGGTGGTGCCTCTGCTCCCCGGCACTCTGCCGAGCGTCGCCCGCTCTGGTGTCTCGTATCGGCAGCCGACGTACGGCCGCGGCAACACAACGTGGTTCATGCTGGTGTGTCCGCCGGCGCCACCGACGCCCAGCCGCCAGCCATGGTGGCTGTCATCACTCTCTTCTTTGCTGTCCTCATTGCCCTCTTTCTTGTCTGCATGTGCCTTGTCACCGTCCAGCTGGTCACCTCGCAGGCGACGATGCGGCGGTTCGCACTGATGCGAGTCATCGCCCGACAGCGCGCCGCGCGGCGGTTTTCGCCCGAAGACATCGAGTGGTTTGTCGTCCACCTCGACGCCGCCTCTGGTGCGGTGCTCAACCCGGTGCTGGCGCCGGCGGCCAAGACCCTCGCTGCGCCGCATCCAGGCGCGGCTCCCGCCGCCGACGCCGACGCCGCTCCCAACAGCGACGCTGCTAGTGCAAGCGATGAGGTCGTCCCGCTACTCTCTGCGCCGGCCGCCCCGCCGATCACCCGCGCCCGCCCGCGCGTTTCCTCGACCATCCCGGCGTTCGAGTACAAGGCCAACGGTGACGTGGCGCGGTCGCTCGAGTTTGTGGTCCTGGCAATGCCGGCGCGACCGAGCCCGGCCACCGACGCAGACGGCTTTGTAGCCCACGCGGCACTCGCGCGATTCAAGCTTGGCCTCGCCGTCGTCTCGCTCCTCCCTCTGTCGTCACAAGCCAGCTCGTCCGCATCGTCCGACGACGCCGCTGGCCTCATCGACGCCTCGCGCTGGTCCGACAACAGCAGTGATCTTGACGACGCCGCCACCCCCGCCGAGGCCACGACCCTCGGCGAGGCCCTCGCTGACGTTCCCGACACCGCCCGCCTGCTATAAGCCCTCGTCTCAACGCAGCAGACCCAGCCGCCGGCTGTCCCAAACTGACCCAGCTGCGGTGGCCACAAAACCAGCGTTGGTTACACGCAGTCTCTGAGAATGGCTTTGTCACACGACTCGCGGACCACATCTCCCCCGTACACACACGCAAACACATCCTCTGATCATGCTTCGCTCCACTCTCGTTGCCTCCCGCCTTGCTGCCGCCACCGCTGGCGCGATGCGCTCTGCTGCACCAGCTGCCCTCGTCCGCTTTGACACCAGCGGTGCCTTCAGAAAGCGTGAGCGTTCCATTGAGGTATGTTCGGGAGGGGGGATGTGTGCGGGTGGGGGTGGGAGGTAAAAATTTGCTGCAAGCCATGACGCACACTCACCACATCTTCCTACATGGGGACAACTTTCGGATGCAGAACGAGTACTTTTCGCGCAAGGACCACGAAGCGCTGCTCAAGCTGAAGGAGAAGATCGAGGCTGCCAATGCGGCCGGAGCCGAGCTGCCGGAGGAAGCCCACGATCTCGGGCGGACTGGATCAGTGGCGGTCGATCCGCTGGCTGGCATGCAGAACCTGGCCGAGGAGCCGGTCTCGATGGAGGACCTCATGACTCTCCGCAAGGAGCTACTGGATCGCATCCAGGCTCTGGAGGAGGTCGTCGGCCAGCTCAAGTACCGCCAGGGCCGCCTGCTGATGAAGACCGCTCGGATCTGAATCGCCTGTAAACGTCGAGAGGCGCACGAGAGATCTTTACAGAGAATCGTCTCGGAGAGCACGAGATGGTGCAGGAGAGCGATGACGATGGGGAGATGATGAGGGGAGATCGGTGAGGTGGAGGTGGAGGTGGCAAGCGAGGGGGGGGACGGGGGGGGGGGGGGGGGGGGGGAGGCCGATGGATGGATCATGCGGCCTTTTGCGGCGGCGGCGGCGCAAGGTAGTTGATGAAGAGGCCGGCGAGGGCAAACATGAGCTGCATAAGGGTGTTCTTGTAGTCGATCTTGCGCGCGTTGCAGAGGTTGTAGACGCATGCGAAGAGCGAGCCCCAGCACATCCACTTCCACTGTTTCTCCACCGGTACACAGCCACCCATGAGTACACGCCCTGTGCAACCACATACCCTCCTTCCCCTGCACACACCCTCTCTCTCTCATTCCATATGTCATGTCTGCTGCTCTCACCCATAGCCCATAGACCAGCCGTCCGGCCAAGAGCAACGGGCCAGCGCCAAAGTCGGGGATGCCACCACCACCGCCACGTACCCGCATCATGAGACCGGATGCGCCCATCATCATGGCGAGCATGTTGAGAAGCTCAGCAAGGTCGTCCTTCATCTCGTCGTTCTCGGGAACCTCCTCAGGGACCGCAAGGAGCGGGTCGACCGGTGATGCCGTGGACTGGGACATGGTGGGTGAGGGCAGAGACGGGTGTGGCCGTCGGCGACGGCAGTCTGCTCAGCCTCTGGCTCTAGCTATGGCTTGGGCTGTGGTGGGCGGCTAGCATGGCTGCGGATTGTGGCGTTTGTCGGGAGGGCAAGAGACGGTGACTAAGCGGCGGCAATCTCGTCGTCAATGGCGGCGATGAGGGCCTCGATCTCGTCGGTGACGTCGGCGGAGACCTTCTCCTGGGCGTGGTAGACCTGGAGGGCTGTGGAGGCGTAGGTAGCGGCCTTGGCGAGGTTGCCGAGAAAGTGGTGGAGGAGGGCGAGGACAAAGTTGAGCTCGCCAAACGGCTCGGCGTGCGGGCCAAAGATGTCCTCACGAACAGCGGCGATGCGGAGAAGCATCTGCATGGCCTCGGCCTGCTTGGCCTCGTCGATGGGGTTGGCGGCGAGGAAGGCCGGATCGTTAAAGGCAGCCGTGAGATAGGTGCGCCAGACCGAGGTGACCAGCTCAAAGACGGCGAGCGCGGCCGGCTGCTTGTTGAGCTGCAGGAAGACGTTGCCCATCTGAAAGTGGCCGGTGGTGGCGTTGATGTGCTTGGGCCCAAACACGCTCGACGAGTAGTACACGTCCTCTGCGAGCTCCTTGAGCGCCTCGCCGTGCTTGCCCTGGGCGGCGTAGAGGAGACCAAAGTTGCGGTGAAGCTGGGCAAGAATGATCTTGGGGCAGTCGGGCGTCTTGAGGACAGCCCAACGGGCGAGCGAGAGGTACCGCTCGCCGGCCGAGAACCGGTCGAGCCCGATCGAGGCCTCACCTAGCAGCAGGTACGACGGCACAAGATCGATGTGGTCCGGGCCATAGATTTCGATGGCAAAGCGGAGCGAGTGCAGTGCTGCCGGCATGGCCCGCTCGTTGTGGCCCTCGTACAGCAGCCGGTGGCCCTCCCGCCGCGCCACCGCCAGCAGCTCGTGCTTGAGCTCATCCTCCTCAGCCGCACGCGCCGCACGTTCCTCCTCCGAGCCCAGAAAGCCCGGCGGAGACCGAAGCGCAGCAAGGAGGCCGCAGATCTTCCCGTGGATGCCCACCCAGTCGGTCTCCTGGTGTTCCATGCAGCAGTACGAGGTGACCTTGCACAGGGGCAGAGCACGCGCGCTGCCTCGCCGCAGAGCTCGCATGCAAGCTTGGAGCCCTTGGGAAGCGCAAGCGCGTTGATGGCGCCCGACGTTTGCATAAAGTGCCAGGGCGTCGTGCTCGACGTCGAGTGGTGCCTGTGGTGAGCGGGGTGTGCGTGTGGTGGAAGCAGAGGCCAGCGGCGGGAGGGTAATGTGATCGTTGAGTTTTCGCGGCTTTTAGCTGGAAACGGCAAAAACGTGGGTGATCACGGTGCATGGGTCTGATCTGGCGCGCTCGGGGAAGGCAAGACGGGCAGCCATGAAGAGGGGGGGGGGGGGGACCGGCAACAGCTGACTCGCAGGACAGAGAGATGGTGAGTGTAGGGGTGAGCGTAGAAGAGGTGGAGAGCTTTGCCGGGAGCTCGACGGCTGTGGGCATTGCGGTGTGTGCTGCGGCGCTTGGCATTGTGGTCTCGCTCGTCCATTCGTTCCTTCACCTCCACCACTACACACACAAGGCACTGCAACGATACTCTGTCCGCATTCTGTTGATTGTGCCTGTCTTTGCCCTCGGATCGTTGCTATCGCTGCTGTATCCCAACTACGCCCTGTACTTTGCAACTGTTCGCGACCTGTACGAGGCGTGGGTCCTCTACTGCTTCCTCCACCTCATGATTGGCTACGGCGGCGGTGACTCGGCCATTGTCCTTGCCATGCGGGTGAGTCCCGGAGAGATGCGCCATCCATGGCCACTCTGCTGGCTCAAGCCCATCAATGTTGGATCGTCCACCTTTCTCCGTGCATGCAAGCAGGGCGTCATCCAGTTTGTCATTGTCAAGCCCGTCTGCGCCGCCCTCTCGCTCGCCATGCTAGTCCTCGGCTACTACGAGAGCACGGCCTACCAGGCCGGCCTGCTTGTTGTCTACAACATCTCGTTCACATACGCCCTCTACGAACTGTATCTGTTCTACCTCGGCACCCGCCTCCATCTTGCTCCGCACCACCCCATCCGCAAGTTTGTCGCCGTCAAATCGGTCGTCTTCCTCACCTATTGGCAGTCGCTCGCTGTTGCGCTGCTGCCCGTGCCCAAGGAGGATGCCGAGGCGTGGGACAACTTTATCCTCTGCGTCGAGATGCTGCTCTTTGCCTTTGTCCACTGGTTCGCCTTTTCCTACACCGAGTTTCGCGATGGCGGCGCTAGCGCCGGCAGCGACCGTGGGAACGGCGACGGCTCGGCCGCCGGTCTTGGCGCTGGCGCTGGCTCGGGCGGCTACTCGGAGCTCGACGACGAGGAGGCGCTGGTGGTGGCGGAGGAGCTGGGCACGCTCTGCCGCTGCTGCCGCTGCATTTGCTGCTGCGCGCCCGACTACGGCCAGCGGCTCGGATCGGCGTTTCTGGACGTCTTTTGCATTGGCGACGTCATTGCCGACACCTACCACTCGTTCTCGCCGTCGTACGGGGAGTACATGCTGCAAGCCCAAGAAGTCCACACTCGTTTTATCTCTGTTGTTGTTGCTCACTCGAGCGCGAGCTCGAGCGGCGACGTGGCGCGGCTGACTCCGGTCGGCTCGGGCGTCATCACGCCGCCGGCGGCGCCGTCGGGTTCGACCTCGGCATCTGCAGCGGACTCGATCGCGTCGAGGTCAAAGTCGGGCTCGGGTTCGGGCTCGGGCTCGGGCTCGGACTCGGGGATTGTGTGATGGCAGCTTGCTGCTTACTGTAAACTACCCACAGCGGGCAACGACTACCTGGTAGGACGCTTCGTACAGCCGCCGCGAGAACGACCAGCCAGGGAGACGAGGGATCGACGCCGCGAGTGTGCAGGCCTCGGCAGCATCGTTGGCCGGGAGCGAGACGAGCGCAAGAGCGAGATGAACGTGGGCAGAGACAGAGAGCGGATCGCGGACAAGGGCCTGACGGTAGAGCGGAACGGCGGCGGCAGCATCGCCTCCAAGGAGCTCGGCCGTCGCGAGGTTGACGTACCCGTCGGCGAGCGACGGCCGGGCCTTGATGGCACGGCGGAGCACGGTCTTGGCTTGCTCCAGGAGCTCCTTGCCGCGCGCGGGCGCGCTCGTCATGGCGCTCTGCGCCTGGCCGGCCAGCATGGTGCCGTACTCGAAGAGCGCACCGGCGTGGGTCCGCTCGATGGCCAGCGCGCGCTCGAGATGACGCTGACCAATAGCGACGTCGCCGAGCTCCAGCGCAAGCTTGCCGAGGCAGTAGTGGGCCTCCGAGTAGTTGGCATAGACCTTGATGGCTGCTTCGAACAGTGGGCGCGCTGCGGTGCGATTGCCAGCCTGCACCTCGACCACGCCGAGTGAGAGCAGCGCCTTGGCGGCGGCGGGATACTCGCGGACGACCGAGCTGAAAACGGCACGATTGTCGCGCCAGTCGGCGATGCGGGTCCGTGTCCGCGGCACGCATAGCGCCACCGCAACGACGACCAGCGTCCAGAGCATGATCGGCGACCGCCGCAGTCGGAGCGCTACAGAGGCTGCAAGGAGAAGAAACCCGGCAAGCGGCGTGTATGCCAGTCGCTCCCCGATGACCGTCGCTAGGGTGGCCACCGCCGACGACGCGGGCAGAAACGGGACAACGAGCCACCCAAGACCAACGACGAGTCCCGCGTCGGCGATTGACAAGCGACGGCGCGGAAGGACAAGGACCAGCACCCACGCCGACATCGCGGCAAGCGCGGCATAGACGGCCACACCCACCGCCGCTCGCGCCTCGGTTGGAGCCACCGGCGGAATTACGTTGTACGAGTAGTCGGCTGAGAGCGTGACCGGTGCGACCATCAGCGCCAAGTAGCGCGCATGGATATACATGTACGACAGTGTCCGCCGGATGACCGACGATTCAAAGGCGATCGGGTTGTCGATGAACGCCAGCGGAGGCCCGGCAAGCAGGCCGTGCTCGCGGGCGGCGCTCCCCGGCAACACCACTCGGGTGAGCACAACCATGGCTGCTGCCGCTGCAATATGAGCAGCGATGGATAGCCATCGCTCACGACGCCACAGCGCGAGCGCAGCGTTGAGGGCCAGGACCATCACGCCCGACTCCTTGGCGAGTGCGCCGGCGAGGCCGAGACCGATGGCGAGGCTGTGGCGATGAGCAGTGGCGGCAGTCGCTGAGCCAAACATACCGATCGCCGCCAGACTCTCGGCGCGGCCGACGACCGAGGCAACGGCCTCGGTGTGGAGCGGGTGCAGGGCAAAGACGAGGGCAACGGCGGCTGCAAGATGAGGGATCCATGCGCGGTCGTCCGGATGGAAGGCAACGAGCTCACCAAGCGTAGCGGCGAGGGCAACGCCAGCCAGGAGCGAAGCAGCCAGATGCAGGGCAATGTTGGCGATGAGGAAGGGCCGCGGGTTGGGGAGATGCGCGGGATCGGCGAGAGTTTGCAGGGCAAAAGAGGCGACGGTGATCGGCCGATAGGAGCGATGAGATGAGGGATGGTCCATGCGAGAGCCCCAAAAGTCTGTGTAGCCGATGGCGCGCCATGCATCAAATCGAGAGGCATATATGGCCGAGGTTTGCGGCTTGCGCATGCTGCCAAGGACCGGCGAGTGGACAATGGCCGAGTTGTCATCAAAGGTGAACGAGCCGTCTGCTGCTGGCCACCACACCACCGCAGCACAGGTGACCACCACCACCGCCATCGCCATGACCGCCGCCACCTCCGCCGGACTCCATTTTTGGCTCGACCAGCGCATGTCTTCCCCCTCGGGGCCTGGCCTCTAGCTGGCGATGAGTGTGGACCGCTCGACCTCGCTTGGCGTCTCTCGCTTGTCTGTGCCGACGATGTGAGGGTGATAGTTGGAGAGATGGGGATGGGGATGGGGATGATCAGGCACAGCCGTGGCGATGATCAGGTACAGCCATAGCTGTCTCCTACGATGATCATGTACAGCCATGATGGTGATGATGTACAGCCATGATGGTGATCAACCACAGCCATGATGGTGATCAGCCACAGCCATGATGGTGATCAGCCACAGCCATGATGGTGATCAGCCACAGCCATAGCTGTCTCCTACGATGATCATGTACAGCCATGATGGTGATCAGTTACAGCCATGATGGTGATCAGCCACAGCCATGATGGTGATCAGCCACAGCCATGATGGTGATCAGCCACAGCCATGATGGTGATCAGCCACAGCCATGATGGTGATCAGCCACAGCCATGATGGTGATCAGCCACAGCCATGATGGTGATCAGCCACAGCCATGATGGTGATCAGCCACAGCCATAGCTGTCTCCTACGATGATCATGTACAGCCATGATGGTGATCAGTTACAGCCATGATGGTGATCAGCCACAGCCATGATGGTGATCAGCTGCCCTTGCGCTCGATCCCCCCCCCCCCCCCCCCCCCTCTCATCATGGTGTTGTCACCTATCCTGCCGCGCGTCCCCGCTCCCCCGAATCGTCATCGCCCACACCTGCAGTGAGGTCAGGACGGCTCACGCTTCGCGGCAACAGCACGCCTCTCCTCCCTCGCACCTTTCGCCAGCCTCCCGAAAGCCACACCACCATGGGCCACATGCTCTCCACCAAGGGCGTCCGCAGGTCGGCTGACGGAACCATCGAAGACTGCCTCTTCTGCAACTTTGTCCACCAGGACAACGTGGCCTCGCGCGAGCACTGCCGAGCATTTCGGAATTTCGACGGCGACGAGCTGACGCCGATCTTTTTCAGAGATCATCGCGTGGCGGTCTTTTATCCGCGATCTCCCGAAGCGACCGAGCACATGCTCATTGTTCCGCTCGAGCACGTGGGGACGGTCAACGATCTGGCCGCGGTCGACGACGGCTCCGGGCTGGTGAGCCACATGGAGGAGGTTGGGAAGGAGTTGCTGCGCGAGGCTGGCTACGAACTCACAAGCTCCGACGTGTACACCGTCTTCCACGTCCCTCCATTCAACTCGATCAATCACCTCCACCTCCACGTCTTTGTCGGCCCGTTTCACTCGGCCAAGGCTGCCCTCATGTACTCGCCGCGGCGCCTGCTCGGCGGCTGGCTGCAATGGTGCGCATCGTCGGCGCAGATCAAGGCATCGCTGTGACTGGCATCGGGGCCTACGGACGGCGCGCAGCCTGGAGCGAGCAGATGTGGTTGGTGAGCGTGTTGAGCTGCTCCTCGTAGTTGCGACGGGTGGTCTCGAGCTCATCGCGAGCGGCGGCGAGCGCGATGTCCCGATCCGAGACCGAGTGCAACGTCTCGTCCAGCGTGCCTTGCATGTCTTTGAGCTCGTGCTTGGCAGCGAGCGCGGCCTGATACATCTCACCGGCGCGGGCGTCTGCGGCGGTGAGCAGCCGCTCGAGCGACGACACCTTGTCCTCGTAGTGTAGCCGCATGCGGAGCTTGGTCTCGTCGCGCGGGCCGGGCGCCGCTGTGTCGAGAACAACGACTGTCCCGCGTTCGCGGACAATGGCCTCGAGCTGAGCAGTCTTTGCCGCCAGCGCGCGCTGGAGCTTGGCGATGACGTCGGCGGCGTCCGAGTCGATGTACCGCTGGACCGTTGAGTGGACCATGGGCGAGGCCAGCGGCGAGGCGACGAGCGGCGAGGCCACAGCAAGGCGCGGCGGGCGATTCGACGGCGTCGACGGCGGAGCAGGCGTAGCAGGCGTAGCTGGCGTGAGGAGCGTCGACGACGGCGGAGCCTCTGAGCCGGGAGAAGGAGGTGTAAAGGCGAGGCGGGAGAGGGCCATGCGCAGCTCGTTGCCGATGGTGAGGACGTCTGCGCAGGCAGCCGAGAGGTCTGGCGCAGGAGCGATGACCGCGTCGCGAATCTCATAGTTGCGCCGGAGGCAGACTTCAAGCTGGGCAACGGCGCCGACGAGCGGCTCGATGTGGGACGCGTACCCGAGCTTGCTGACCGAGTCCACGGCGACGAGCGCATCGACGGCCGCCGCCACAGTGGCGAACAGCGGGCCTAGCGCATTGTTGACACCCTTGAGCTCGGGCGCGACGTCCGAGACAACCTGGTGGTCGACCCGGAGGTATGCGAGCATGTACGGGAGGAGCTTCTTGAACGCGCCCGAAAGTGCGCGACCGGCGGAAACCGCGGTGCCTGTTAGGGCGCCGGTCTGAGGCTCGACGGCGTCGTCGGCCGACCACGAGCTCGCCTCACCGAGCTGGGCGGCAATGGCCGAGAGCGTGGTGAAGCACTGGCCGGCAAGAGTGGCGAGCTTGGGCGAAGCGCCGCGACCGGCGGCCCGGAGCTGCATGGCACGACCAAGGGCGCGAGCAAGAGCGGCGCCGCGCTCGCACGCGTGCTGGACCGCGCGCTGGCACTCGAGCGGCGAGAGCGGAGCGCTTGCCCGCACGGGTTTGGCGGCCGAGGCGAGGAGCGAGTCGTCTGCAAAGGTGAGAGCCTGGCGAGGCTCGGCGGCTTGCGGGGCGGCACTGCCGGCCCTCTCGCGCACGGCTGTTCGGTCGGGGGTGGCGAGGGCGATGGCCGAGGCTTGGAATGCCATAAATGACGACTCGAGGCCCGAGACCAGCGAGTCGACAGCGTCCTCCAGCTCGGGTAGCGAGAGGCTGTGGCTGGCGCCGGCGGCGACAGCGGCGGCGGAGCGGGCGAGGAGGAGGCGGAGGTCCAGCGGCGAGTCCGGGGCCTCGGAGCCATCGCGGGCATGTGGAATCGGCGACGCTGGCGGCGCTAGGCCCGACGTGTCCGACTCGGACTCGGAGAGGAGCGGGTAGTAAAACGGGGCGACGCCGCCAAAGTGAGAGTCGTTGAGCTTGCGAAGCGAGGTCGAGACCTCACCCTGTAGCGAGGCGAGCTTGGCAAGCGTTGCTTCGTACGAGGCTGTGACTGCGGCGAGTGCCGACTCGAGGGTCTCGATCTTGGCCTGCGCGTCCGCAGCGGCGTCGTCGGCCGCCACCGCCGCTGCGGTCAGCTCGTCCGACTTTGCCACCAGCGAGGCCTCCAGAGCCTTGACATGGCCGTTGAGCGTCGCCACCTCCTCGGCATGCGCCCGCTGAGCCTCAAACTTCTCCGAGCCAAAGACTTCGGCCTGGGCAATGGCGTGAGCCAGTTGCTCCTCCAGCACGTGAACATGCGCCTCCAGCTCATCGATACGGACCTGCTTTGCCGACGAGCCGGACCACCACGAGGCGAGTCCTGACGACTTTCCGGACGATGAGCCATTGCGGGATCTCCTCGATGGCGAGGAGATGGCCAGACCCTGAGTAGCGGATCCAGCAGGATGGGACGAGGACGATGACGAGGACGGAAGCGATGATGACAAAGATGGAGCGATGGCTGTGTCTGCGGTGAGGACAGCAACACGTTGTGTCAAGCGCTTGTTGTTGAATGCCAGCACATCGTTGTCCTTCAATAAACTCCTGTTCTTCTGCCGAAGGAGATTGAGTGCACCAGAGAGCCTCGCCGAGTTCTCCTGTTCCTCCACCACAGCCTTCTTCAGCACCGCGTTGTGGCCCTTGACCCGCGCGTACTCGGCAACAAGTCGCTTGTACTTGCTCTCCATGCTGCCCCCCTCCTCGGTCGGGGTGGACATGGTATGCGTGTGTATGTGTGTGTGTGTGTGTGTGTGTGTGTGTATGTGTGTGTGTGTGTGTGTGTGTGTGTGTGTGTGTATGTGTGTGGGTGTGGGGGGGGGGTGCGGAGTGGCGTGGCTCAGGCTTCGGCTCTGGCTGGCTACCTGTCGGCTAGCTGGCTGGCTGGCTACCGGGCGGGCGGTGATGCGAGTCGAGAGGGAGGCGATGGCTACCACGCATTGTTACTCGTACTCATCGGTACTTGCGGTGGAGGACATAGAGGAGACGGAGGATGGTCTTGAGGTCGCCGGAGAGGAGCTTGGTGGAGGAGACTTGCGGAATGTCCACGCCGAGCTCGAGGACGCGGGCGATGAGGAACTTGAGGTTGTCGATCTTCTCGGCCTGCGACTTTGGCGAGAGGTGGTAGAACTTTGGCTCGATGTACGCGTTGTTGAGGATGGAGACGAGGGCGATGAGAAGAACGCCGTCTGTAAAGTCGGTGGTGAGGTCCAAGACGGTGACCGAGACGGCAGCGAGATGCGAGTTGACAAAGGCGAGCATCGACTGCTTGACCGAGTTGAGCTTGGAGACATCTGCGGCAAAGAGCTTGTCGAAGACGTCGGGCGGAAAGTCGGCGTTGGGATCCTCCATGTCTGCGTACATGGGTGGAGCGTCGTCGGGCCGGTCGTGGTCGTCGGCGATGGCAGCAGCGGCGGTGGCAATGGTGGCGGCCGGGCCGGCGGTGCCACCGGCGGCGGCCATCTGGGCCTGGATGGCAGCGCGCTGCGAATCGACAAACGAGTCGTCCTCGTGGAGCGCTGTGACAGCGTCGAGCGCCGAGGCCTGAATGGCGGAAAAGTCAAAGGCACGGAGCGAGTCCACGAGGCGGAGGACCGGCTGCAGTGCGGCGTCCAGGATGTCGTCGGTCTCTGTGTTGTGATGGTCGATGCCGAGGTTCTCCATAAACGCAAAGGCCATATCGATGTTGGCCCGTGCGTCGGTCTCGCTATTCACCGGGTCGATGGTTGCCTCTCCAAGTACCTGCTCCACGGTCATGCCAGTGAGGACCTCGAGCAGGGCGAGAAACTTGATGCCCTCGCCAAACAGGCGCGGCTCCGACGCCGATACAGAGAGCCCGCGCTGCGAGAGGTACGAGTTGATCCACGCCACAAGCTCGATGTGACTGGCGTTGTCGTAGCTCTTGAGTGGCTGGGCGACGGCAAACCCGTACTTGCGGCCGTACTCGGTGCGGATGGCGTCCATCTCTTCTTGGCTCGGCGTAAGAATGGTGCGGACCGTCTTCTCCACATACGGCATCGACTCCTTCTCGCGATACTGCAGCAGCTTGGTGGCGAGGAAGACCGAGGGGCGGATGACTCGGTCGCAGTTGAACCGCAGCGCGAGCGAGACGCAGAGAGACCACCACGCAATGGTGTTGCCCTCGTACAACAGCATCGGTGTCCATCCACCGTCGCCCACTGGCTGTACGTCCAGCCGCTGCAGCGCGAGACACAAGACCGAGAGGTTTTCCAGCTGTGCACGGTCCGACAGAGCCTCTGGGTTGTACCTCGCGATCTGAGCACCGGTCAGCTCTTCCAGCAGCCAGAACATCAGCACACCGTTTGAGCAGTCTGTTGCCGGATCCCGAATAGCATTGTTATCCCTACGCCGAGTGTACGTCGACATCCACGCCAGTAGATTGGTCGTCAGCTCGCGCATCTCCTTTGACCGCATGGCCATGGGGTGGACCTCACGGACCACTGTCCCGCCCCCCCCCCCCCCCCCCCCCACCCCCCCCCCCACCGCCCCCACCGCCCCCACCCCACCGCCCGCCCGAACACACACCATCCACAGAGAGAGAAAGAAGGACATAAGTACAGCACCGTGCCACCATCCCCCTCCCTCCCCCCTCCTCCCCCC